CTTAAGTCTTAAATTTAATTTAGGCAGATTATTTAAAACTTTAAAAGATACTGTAAGATACAGTTAAAGTGTTAAATGTGGCATATGTTACTAACACACACCTTTAAACATTGATGTTTTCCTGCCTTGCTTTTGTGGAATTTCCATCCACATATTATTATAATCTACAAAGTAAATAAAACCTGCAAGGCCTCTTTGCAACATGATGAACATTATGAAATTAGGAACTACATTTTGTAATGTTAATTTAAAAAAATTAAAATGTATATAAGCTGTTTAAATGCTTGTGAAGGTAGTATCTATATTTCACTTTGAAGGAAAAAAATGATTTTGCTTTACTATTGGAAACTGCTTTCAAACTGATCAAAAGTTAACTTGAGACATGACAATAAAAATCAGTAATAACATTTTTATCCACAAACAGATTCAGTAATGCCAGCCTTGGTCAGAAATACCATACACAAATATTTTGTAAATTTTATGCAAAAGTGAACTGAACTGTTTTGATTAAAATACAATACCATAAATCTTTAGAAACTTCCATCTCAACCTGTTCATCATTATTGCCCAATTATTATCCAAGTAAATAATTTTCAGACTGGATTAGTACATTTTGTTACATCTCTGGGTAGTTCATATAAAATGTTAAATGTTAAAACATTTAAGTAATCAAAGAAAAAGAAATACATTAAAAATGTTTACAAATTTTAATTGTTCCAGGTTCCATCTGTATGCATCACCAATAGCTTGGTCCTGTTGTAAAAATGTAGATAAAAAGAAAACAACTGCTGAAATGATGCAAAGTAGGACTCAGGATCAACTGAAAAACTGGTGTTGATCCAGGGTAAGTCCCTTGACAACAATACATGTCACACAACCATATCTGATCGTCGCCCCTATCTTTGCAGGTGTGCTGAGCAGCTTTTTTCTGCAGAGCCCACAGTATCTACTGGCATGCTGCGGTGGGTCCAGCCCTCCTCCTGCCTTCTCCAGTGAGTGTTTTATGCCTCATCAGCAATGCCTCAGCTACTCTCTAAGCATTAGCAGCAGGGTCTCCCATGAACTCCACAGCTAATTAGTGATGCAATGCCAAAGAGCTAATTCTCCGCTCAACTCTGCACAGCTCTATTCATAACCATTCACGGCTGTTTAGAACAGGGAAGAGGGGTGGATTGCAAGGCTTTTTAAAAGTCCCTGGGGCCCCCTATTTTGTACTTGCGAATACACACTTTTACCAGTGCAAATATGCAGAGCTAATAAACATCTTGTCTTCTGTCATATTAAGCTTATAATTACCAGGTGAGGATTCTTACTGCAGGCAAACTGTTTTAAAGCTCAGTACTCCCTCAAAACATTATGTCTGGTTGCGAGACACACTAGTTTCAAATTTAATTTTCAGGCTCCATGAAAATTTGAAAACATTCAAGAAAACTGTTATTTCATCTGAAAGCTTATACATTTTTAAATCAATTTTGCTTGAAACGTTTGTCCACATAATTTGAGACTTGTGTAAAGAACTAGTACATTATTCTCTAGTGGCATTAAGTCTGGCAGCTGTTTTATATTGGCATTATACCAAAGCAACTGGAAGTAATGAGTTGCTGCATCCTATGCTGCCTGTCAAGAAATGTGGAAAATAGCACAAATCAGAAAGCCCTCATCCCACAGGTTCCTGGAGTCCTCTTAGTAGGCTGACACTTTCCCACAGTGCCCAGCAACACAACAATGCCAAGTCTGGCCGTGACCAATTGGCACATTCACTCCACCATCCACACGCGACCTCACTGCAATTTTTCACTGCAGAAATGAACTCTGCTAAGCACAAAAAAACATGCCCATTTCTTTGCAGAAGAGGGCTTGAACAGGAACGTCCCCCAGCCATTGTGTGGCTAAAGAGCTTGGTTCTCTGACCCCCCCTCCTTTCTCCTGTCCTTCAACTCTTATTCCTGCCCACTGGAGACCTCTTGACTAGGGCATAAAGCATTCAATGAAAGTAACTTTTATAGACTTATTTGAGCTCATCTTCACATACAAACTGGCTTCATACCTGCAAATGAAAAGATTTAGTGTTGGGCCACTGAACCATCCAGTAATGGCATTTCCATTGAACGGCTCTATTGTTGGTGTTCCACAAGGCTTTATAGTAGGTCCACTAGGGTAGACACACACGTTGCCCAGGAATGACCTGGTAATCAGCTATTTAAATGAAACCCATTGAGCTCCAATAGAGAAGTGAGAAGCATGTCCAAACCTGTTATGTGCTCCCTAGAGGCGGTCTATGTGGAGATTTGTCGTACAGATTAAATGGACTGGATAAATTGTTCCACTTGACTTTTGCTGTGCATGCACCTGTGAGTAAAACAGTGTGGGACTGCTCCTCACAGGTCACCACATCCTTTTTTTCTCAGTTGAAATTGCTTTCTATTCTCTTTAGTCACCCCCAGTTTGTTAAATTGGACAAACAGCAAGAGAGAAATTGAAAGTGAGTGATGAAGTGAGTGTGACAAAAACATACATCATCTTGGTTTGAAAAGGTAGGAAATGTTGTAATGGTTGGTTGACCATTTATTTAGCTGTTGCTGCTGACCTCAATTCACTACACCTATATTTTCCCCAGGCTGCTACTTGTACTGTTTCTACATGATTTCCTATTAAGCTGCACTTTATTCCATGACTGTGACAACCAACACCTACACTTGGACCATAAAGAAACAATGCACCAATGAGAAATAACAGTGACCCATACATAACAGTTTTTGTTTTTCCCTTCTTCCAGAAGGAGCAAATATTCGAATGTGGTCAGCTGATATTTGTCCTAAATCGCGCAGAGGGATCCTTAGGAGAGCTGTGTTCTCTGAAGAACAACGGAAAGAGCTAGAGAGAACTTTTCGAAGACAGAAATACATCAGCAAGACAGACAGGAACAAACTGGCAGCTGATCTTAGTCTCAAGGAGTCACAGGTAACAGACTATGGATTACCCAAGCATCTGCTTAATTAATCTCTGATTCTGAAAATTTTATGCAGTAAATAACTATATTTATGAGTTATGTGACAGCATTACTTTGTTGTATGGCTCAAAGCAGACAAGGGATGCATGCGAAAGTATCAGCAAAACTCCTGTCCTTTTTCAACTACAATCACTGAAAAACTAAACTAGAGTAAACCTTGTAGACATGCACATAAATATGAAGAGACAGAAACGCCATTAAAGTCAGCAAAACATGACTAGCATTTTACAGCCTGTTAGCAGCTCTGTTAGGATGTGCTTAGGCACACTAGTGCTTTTAGTTGAATGCTAACATCAGCATGCTACATGCTCAGTGACACTGCTAATATGCTGCTGTAATGAGTGGAAACTAAACCACAGACATTCTCATTTCCACATTTCACCTGCTAAGTAGCAAGTATAATGTTTGCCAATTTCACCATTTTAATTTAGCGTATTATCATACTAACTCTGCGTTGCCAATTTGGCGACTTTCTCGTTAAATCTGGCAACTTTCCAAATCCTCTTATCGCTCTGCAGTTACTGTCCTCAACGAGCAGCGGGTGCTGCCGTGAGCCTCTCCCCCGTCCCAAAGCACTCACAGGCGGTCAGTCTCACAGTAGCCTCGCGCAGCAGTCCCAGCTGCAGTTAGAGCAGAGAGGAGATCCACACCACTCCGCGTCCAGACTGCAAATGAATCGCGCATGCGCAAAGCCGCCGCTGATCCCACCCCTGACTTACAGAGCTTGATGTAAATGTAAACGTTTCTTCACTGTCACTAAAATAAGTTGCTGCATTTAACTCACAGTCTCAGTCGCTTATTACCTCGTCCACTGTGTGTCCCTGTCTGTGATATAGGCTAAATATCTAGCTAGCTCATCATGTCTCAGTCTAAAGTGTACGCTCAAAAATACAGAAAGGAGTGGGAATCAAACCCTGAATTCAAAGGCTGGTTGAAGCCTTTTATTGGAGATGATACACGGGCATACTGCCTCTATCGTAAGGCTGGTTTCGACACCAAATGTTGTGATATAAAAATACGCATGACAACTCAAAAACATTCAAAAGGCAAAGCCTTATAACAGTTCCACCCAAAGCAAGCTGCCATTAATGAGTAAAAAAAATGACTCCGCAAAAAAGGCTGAAGCCAGCGTGGCATTAGCTATTGCTGAACACTGTTCCATGCTGGCATGTGATCACATTGGGGAAGCATGTAGAGCTGATTTCTCAGACTTTCACTTCTATTTCATATTTTAGTTCCAGTGATGTATGAGTTGGAAAGTCAGGATCACAAATATTATAACAAATTATTCTGACAGACACATGAATGTCTATACCAAATTCTTGGCAATCCAGCCAGTAGCTGTTAAAGATTTTACTCAAAACTACAAATATGAACTTCAGGGTAGTACTAAAGAAAAAGTCAAGGATTAATAAATTCAGTAGGATTCTTTCACTGGTCACCACATACAGTATGTCTGCACAAAATTTCATGGCAGTTCATCCAAGAGTTGTTTTGGTCTGGACCACAGTTATGCCAGAGCTACACCACCAGCATAACTAAAAGTGAATGGATTACATAAATTGAACTAAAATGCCTCCACTCTCCTGCTGCTTTAGGTGAAGATCTGGTTCCAGAACCGCCGAATGAAGTGGAGAAACCATAAGGAGAAGGAGACCGATAACACTCGATCTCCAATGAATGAGCTCATGGCCCATGGTCTCACTCAGAAAGATGAAAAACCATCACAGAATGACAGTGCTAAAGCAGTGAAATCGTCACCACAGAGGAGTGTCAGAGACACATGATGGGATGAGTGGAATCTAACTGGGGGACATTCTAACTTCCACAGAAGCCTCAAACAAGGCTACAGTAATGGGAGGTTGTTTATAAATACGTGGATGGAATACAGTGTGTGAGAGAACTAACACAGATAATATTAACTTTTCTTTCAATACATGTAACTGTTTTGTTGCAGTTTAAATGTAATTACAGTAGGTTCGGCTGCTAGGTCAATCATCTTATTGCGTTTCACTGGCCCCAGTAAGCAATTTCATGGTTATTACACTGGAAAATCCTTTTTGACGTTGAAGTTTCATTTGGTTTATTTTGTAAATAATTTTTCGTGATCTTCAATGGAACAGCTGTAAATAAAGTGTTTCAATGAATCCTGATTTCACCATTGCTTACTCTAGCTATATGGAACTCTGGAGAAAATGTGTGGCACATCCATTTCACTATGAGATTCTTGCTGGGAAATGAATATTGCACCTGTGTAGATACAACCACATACAATTCACAATAATATCAGTTTGAAAAACAGCCAATTCAAATAAGCATGAATGATGAATGAAAGGTAAATAAAGGGTCATGGATAATCACTGAGTGCAGATCACTGAAGATCCCAGGCATTCTCTAACACTGTTGTACGGTCCTGCCAAACAGGACTGCCAGGGACAGGCCTTGGCATCCAGCCCCTCCAGATGCAGAGATCAGTGCAGTGCAAACCTTGTGAGAGGACAGCAAGACAAATGGAGGAAAACAAAAACAACATAGGTCACCAAAAATCATAAGATTACTTTAAAATAAAAGTTTGCATGTACTGTTTTATTGTTCCATCTTACATTCTTTAATGGCTCCTTTCTTGTTATGCAGTTACAGATTAACTGTTTTGCCACCTGTTAAAGGGCTTTCACACTTTTCGCCACTTGGGTTGGGCACAGCACAGGGGCACACATGTAAATCCTGCAGGTGTTGGGCGCCAGTTGCCACTAAAATCAGCTTCTCCTCCATCTTCTTTGTGGTCTGTTAGGTTTTCTGCAATTTGACATGCCAAGGTGTCGTCACTATTACGCACAGGTTGAACTTTTTTTTTTTTTTTTTTTTTTAATTTCCGCGCGGTGCCGGGCCATGGCTTACAGTGCAGCATAGATACGTTCTTGCCCCAAACAAAACACACAGAAATGAATGGGTTCAATAGCAGAGTACATTACCCAACGCATCCTATCTAAAAGCCCCTTTACCCTTGCAGAGCCTACTGTAACTCATGGAGTGTTACTGACTACACGAATTGGATAAAACATAACACAATAAATTGATAAATACTATATACTGGTGTAAGTAATTTGTCAATTTTAAAGTAATGTATTAGCATTAGTATTAATGAAGTAAAAAAAAAAAAATCAGATACAGACTGTCCAACAGTTCACATGCAACCTTACACTGAAAAACTTATTCCAGTTCCAATATACTTTAATTGGCGTATTTTTGTCATCTTATGTGGAATAATGTTGCTATGACTTTACATAAACTCTTTTCTACTCAACTGTCCCCACAATGAAGACATACCATAAAACAAACACATGCAGCCACCGGGGGGATTAAAATACATGCTGAATTCTTAAGTGATTTAAATATTATTAAACTACAAGACATCAATTATGTGAGAGGTACAACATAAAAATGAATAGTACCACACAAGCAGTGAATAAGCCCATTGTCCAACAACCCTAATTAGAACTGTCAAGCTCAGTTCATTCAAATGTAAAGCGGGTGATTTATCTTCTCATTAGCTCTACATGCTACGATTAATAAAATCATGACTCATTATAAGCAGTTCGACTTTTTATCCAGAGCCACTTTCTACATTATATAGAATGACCCATTTGTAAATGCAATGCAAAAAGTTATTAAACCAAGGTTTCAGGCAAAAGGGGGTACGGACATGAACATGTTTATACTGCAAAACAAATGTAAACTCTCTCTGTACCCCTTTTAATAAATGAAATGAAAAGGGCATGGCACCACATTAGCAGTTCCTCTGATTCTCCATTAGTGTGCCACCTTGTGGAGGGCAGCAAATTTTGAACAAACTGCTGTAAAAGAATGTTTGCCAAAGAACTAAAAAGGGCAAAGCAGTATGAACAACAAAACTGAGCATCACAAATAACCAGCAAGCGGTTTCACAGAGCACATATTTTGTCTGCTTATTCCACATTACACAAAAAAGATGTCATAAATACACCAATATTCTTATAGAAAATAGAATATATAACCAATTTACATTTATCAATACTATGTACAGGTTTGAGTGCATTCTATTACTTTGTGCTGTCAGAGCAGAGTTGAGCTACTGAGGGAAGGAAACGATGTTTATGCCCAAGTCCAGTTCCACTCTTATATCCATTTCCATTCAACCTATGTTATAAATTCTCACTAACACCCAATGCCAAGAAACTCCTCATCTGTTTCAAGCATAAAATCACATGAGTTAGTCCTTATGTGACTCAGCACTTCAGACAGATTCAAAGCTCCAATTTTACATGTCAGTCCATTCAACATCTGTGGTGCTTCCACTTGCGAGTGGCTATGGCAATGTTTGCGTCTTTTTTGTGCCAAGGGAAGAGACGGGCGAGAGCAAGAGTGCCATCAGGCAGCACAAAACCAGTCAGCAAGTAAAGCTGTGACCGCCCAGGGCGCACAAGGACATTGGCACATTGAAGGTTGATGAGGAGCCACTGATGCAGTAGGTGCTGGGTGTCATAGGGCAGCAGAGGTCCCTGGCGGATAAACTCAACCCGACCCTCCAACTCAAATTCTGGCTCTCCCATAGGTAGGCGACGGCGATAAAGTTTGGCAACCACAGCTGTGGAGAAAAGTAAAAAAAAAAAATGTTTCTTTTATTGAAAAACACAATTGTTATTAAAAATTTTCCCAGAAATTATTACAAATCAACAAACCACAGCTTGGTGAAATAATTCTGAAGCTTACCAAAGTCATGCTGGCAAAAAGCATCCAGGACTGTTTTCACTACAGGACTCTCTTCCACTGAAGGACAGTTCTGGCAAGCTGGTTTGGGTAAGCCTGTAAGAAAAAGTAAACAATTTAATATTACAGAATGTGCAATAATTATAGAATATTCATAGAGCAAGCACACTGTAGAAAGTACTACAATCAGTATTTACCTTTGGCAAAGTGACTAAATTTTAAATAAGGAGAAAGGCACATGTCCTCCTCAGCAGGGAAACGGTCACAATCAAGAGCCTCAGGCCATGGGTGACCCTGGCAGGCGAGCACCGGGGCACAGCTTTCCCTCACTGCTACACACAGACTACGGCATGGTTGGATAAAACTGAGGGAAAGAAACAAAATGTTAAACAATGAAGGCCAACTACTGTAACAATGATGAAAACATGGCTTAAACCCTAAAGTAAATGTTTTTATAAATCTGTCAAGTATTTTAGAAAGAACAAAAAACAAAGATAAAAAGAAGCAGAAACGTAAAATGTACTTACGTGTCAAGACAAACAGGAGCAATGAGGGAGCAGAGGAAGGCCTGAGCTTGAGGGTGGCAGCCTGTTTGCAACAGAGGCCTCCAGTCCTCTGAACGTGGCACCACCTCGCGTTCCAGGTTACGGTGGCCCAGGAAGTTGGGCAGTCGCATCTCTGAGTATCCAACATCTTTGCAGACCTTCATCTGGTTGGGGATGGTGACGCAACGAGTGGACTGACCCATGTCAAATGCCATTAAAGGATATGCCATAGCCAGGAGAGCCACAGTGAAAAATAAAGCCATACTGAAGCACTCGCAAAATCCACAGAGACCACAAGTAGATAACTGAGCTTTAGTGGAGGATGCTTGTTGAGAGCACTGTCCTTGAATGGCTTTGGAACTGCTGCTGCTCATTTTATATACAGCAAGGTCAGCCAGGCCCAGTCTGCAAGTCTGTTATCAATTACCTATCAAAGACGGAGAGACGATGTGCTTGGAGACAACGGCTTGTTTTGTGATGACTACAAACACAGAGGGGGCAGTAAGCACATGGAGGGTGTGAGTGTGTTTAGGGGGGGCAATCACAGCCCAGCCTTCACTGAGTGAAGCCCGTTCACAGTGAGTTCAATCCGCTGTATTTTCATTCATAGTCCATAAGGTAGAAACAAATAATGTGAGCACTTCAGAAAAAAGAGTTTGAAAACTAACCCTTGGTGTTTATCTTATATAATATGTAGCTGAGAAGTACTGCTACTTGGTATGCAATAGTTGTAGTAATATTTGTAATTATAACTCATTACTACTAAAGTGATTAACCTTTTTGTCCCCATACTATATCAGCACAGCCATTAGTTGTATATATACACACACACACCACAAAAATAAACTTTGTTAAAGGTTGCAAGCTGCTACTCAGAAACTTCCTTTAGAAAGAAATATAAGGCTTGTGCAGACAGACAGGCAGTCTCTGTCATACTACTAGTCTCCTTCATGTGTCCTTGCCTCCAAATTGGAGGGTTTCATTGGCAGAGCCTCCAGTTCTCATCAGCAAAGCAGCATCTCTCCTGGCTCACCTGGCTTTGATCTCCCAATGACATGAGATGTTTTCTCTTTCCTAAAAACATTTTACACAAGATTTAATGAGAATCTGTCTTTTGAACTAAAAAAAACAGTGAGACAATATATTTGATCTAAAATGGTATAAATATTTTCAAGTTCTGCTACTTCATACTTCATGACATTTCAGAGGCAAATATTTATAATATTTAGCAGCTAATTACTTTGTAGAACATTAATAATGCAAAATACAGTATAATTGTAAGATTTTATTCGCCCTCGGAAGGAAATATACAAGCTACCCAGCATTCAAATTATAAGTATAAGATAGTTAAAATTTTCTCCACTTTTACAAGCTGCAACATTAAATGTTATGTACACAATAATGCATCAATGATGTACTTTAATGTGAAACTGATAAAAATGCCATTCTGTATAATCATTACATGAATACTTTTTTTGAATGCGGGACTTTTATTTGTAATAGAGTATTTTTACACTGGTATTGATACTTTTAAGTCAGTACATTATTGAAAGACAAGTGCTAATTTGTCTCGTCTGTCTTCTATGTTAAGTTTCTTCATTCAAGAGAATGACGCTACAGCATTGTCCTATTTGTTTGGAGGTTGTCTGTCTCAAGATTTAGGTGGGGATTCCCACATGAATCAGAGGTCTCTATCCTATCTGGCTTGCTATGGTCATTGTGGATTCAGACATGCTATAGTAAAGATCATTCTCACTGGCTCCACTCCCATTTCTGTGCTTGTATACCAGTTCTCTACAATCTTGCATCCAGAGCCTTCAATTGGCCCCAGCTCAGCTAACTTTTACAGCCTGATCTGATGAGTGGAGGCTGGTTCCAGTGTGGGTAGACAAGTACAGCCTTGAAGGGGGGACTAACTGAGCAATTAGAGAGACAGACCAATTTGGGAGAACAATAGGTCCACACATTTAACAGGCTCCCCCTGCCAGGAGCCCAGCAGGGGTCTGTTGTTGGGCCTAATGGCTGCCCTGTAGACACCATGTCTGTCTTGGTAATGGGTTGCCTGCCCCTGCCTCAGTTAATGAGAAGGCGACCGAGTATGAGCAGAATGGGTGGGCACCTGTCTATCAAAGAAACTTTCAAAACAGTACTTGGCTTTTAAAAGTCACATGAAAATCTAAAAAAAAAAAAAAAAAAAAAAATGAAAAAAAACA